TATTCAGCCTCAGCTGAAGATTTACTTATGGTTGGTTGCTTCTTTGATTTCCAAGATATTAGTGATTTACCAAGAAAAATAGTATAACCAGTAACACTTTTTCTTGTATCCAAACATCCAGCCCAATCACTATCACAATATGCAGATAAATCTAAAGAAGAAGATCTAGGAAAGGTAATACCTTGACCAACTGTACCTTTAATATACCTGAGGATTCTATGAGCAGCTGCAAGATGATTCTCAGTGGGGCTTGCCATGAACTGGCTTAGTAGTTGAACACTTTGAGACAAGTCTGGTCTTGAAATGGTTAAGTATAATAGCTTACCAATGAGCCTTCTGTAGGCAGATGCATCAGTAGGTGGGCTTTGATCACAGCTCATACTTAGTTTGGAGTTGCTGTCCATTGGGGTAAGTGCTGGTTTGGATCCTAGAAAACCTGTTTCACTCAAAATATCTAAAGCATATTTGCGTTGACACATGTTAATTCCAATGTCAGAATGGGCAAATTCCAGCCCTAAAATATATTTCAGAGTACCAAGGTCTTTGATTGTGAAACAGTCATCAAGATGCTTCTTAATCAAAGTTATTTTATCCAAATTATCACCAGCAATTATCACATCATCCACATATACAAGTAGAGCAATAAAACAGTCAGATGTGGAATAAATGAACAGAGATGAATCAGATATAGATTGAACAAAGCCATAGGCTATCAGGCAAGTGGTTAATTTATTAAACCACTGCCTTGAAGCTTGTTTGAGGCCATAAAGGCTCTTATTCAGCTTGCAGACTCTTGTATCAGAATTGGAACAATAGCCTGGTGGAGGTGTCATATACACCTCCTCATCTAAGTCACCATGCAGAAATGCATTATTAACATCAAGTTGGTGTATATGCCAATTTTTGACTGATGCTAATGCAATTAAGAATCTAACAGTGGTTATTTTAGCCACAGGTGAGAATGTTTCAAAAAAATCAATTCCTTCTTCTTGGGTATAACCCTTGGCTACTAACCTAGCTTTATACCTTTCAACTGTGCCATCTGACTTGTATTTGATTTTAAAAACCCATTTACAACCAATGCAATTTTTGCCAATGGGAAGTTCAGTTAAATGCCATGTATTAGTCTTTTCAAGAGCATCTAACTCATTTTTCATTGCTGTTTGCCAGAGAGGGTTTTTAACAGCTTGAGAATAAGTTTTTGGTTCAGTTTCTTTAGAGATTTCAGCAGTGAAACAAAAGTGAGAGTCAGATAGTCTATCAGCAGATAAGTAATCAGATATAGGATATAAACATGTTCCAGAAATATGTTCAGTTGATGAGTTGCTTTGAGAGCAGTTTGAGTGATGATTAGAAACAGAATGGGAGTAGATGTCCAGGTAAGCAGGGGGTTTGGTAATTCTATTTGATCTTCTAAGGATAGGTGATGGTGCAGGTGAAGAAAGATTTGGTGAGTTAGTTTGAGTAGTATTATTAGGTGAGATATTGCTTGGGGCTTGGGAAGTGGTTTCTGAAGTGGGAGATTGATTGCCATGAGTGGGTGTAGATATAATGGCAGGTGAGGGAGTTGGGCCTGTAGTGTTTGGCAACTGTGAAGCAGGGGAAGAATCAGTATAAGGGAAAGGCTGAGGTGTAGGAAATATAGTTTCTGAGGATTGTTGAGTTTCTGTAGCAAAAGGAAGAATATTCTCATAAAACTGAACATTTCTGGTGATTAATATCTTCTTGGTATCCAAGTTATAAAGTTTATAGCCTTTATAACCAAGGGGATATCCAAGGAGTATGCATTTGGATGCTCTGGATGAGAACTTAGACCTATTAGCACATAGAGTGGATGCATAACAAAGACATCCTATGACTCTAAGATGGTCATATGTAGGTGGTTTATGAAATAGAGCCTCAAAAGGAGAGATGTTATGCAACACAGGTGTAGGGACTCTATTTATGATGTGTGCAGCAGTTAAAACACAATCAATCCAAAAATGCTTAGGCAAATGTGCATGAAATAGAATAGCTCTTGCAACTTGAAGGAGATGTTGATGCTTTCTTTCAACCCTAGCATTTTGTTGAGGTGTTTCTACACAACTTTTCTGATGTATGATGCCTTTAGAAACATAAAAGTCATGCAAAATGAATTCAGTACCATTGTCTGACCTTAAGATTTTTATCTTTTTGTCAAACTGAGTTAAGACCATGTTATAAAATTGTTGAATGCAGTTTTTAGTATCAGATTTCTGAATGAGAGGATATATCCATGTGGTTCTAGAAAAATCGTCAACAATTGTAAGTAAGTATCTATGACCAGCATATGAAGGGACACCATATGGTCCCCAAACATCACAATGGATTAAATCAAAGGCAGAAGAAGCAGTAGATAAACTAGATGAAAATGTAAGCTTCTTTTGTCTAGCATAATGACAGATATCACATGGATCAATGCTTTTCAAAGTATTCATAGCAATAGGCAAAGCAGAAAGTTTAGAATAAGAGAGATGTCCAAGTCTGTGGTGCCATAGCACATTGTCTGTAGTACAAGAACTGTTGGCAATTACAGGTAAATTCAAAGATACATCTAAATTGCTTGCAGTATGAACAGTATGATCAGTATGAGCAGTATGATCAGTATGAGCAGTATGAGCAGTATGAGCAGTATGAGAGGCAGTGCCAAGACAAAGGTGGTAGAGACCATCCTTAAGCTCAGCAAAACCAATCATTTTGTGTGTGTTCATATCCTGTAATATGCAGTAAGATGATAGGAATTTGACCATGTAATTGTTTGATGAAACCAACTTAGAGACAGAGATAAGATTAAATTTAAAATTGGGAACATATAATGCATCTTGAAGAATGATATGATTTGAAAGGTGAACCTCTCCAATGGAACATGCTTCAGTTGTATTTCCATTTGGTAAATTTATTTTTGTTTTTGACAGAACAGGTTTGAATTTATAAAATGATGAGTTGCAGATCATGTGATCTGTAGCTCCAGTGTCCAGAATCCATGAATTTTGATGAAGATTTCTAGTAATGATGCAAGAATAAGATGGAAATGTACCTTGTGTGCTTGAAGTATCTGGAAAGGCAGATGCCACCACAGGTGTATGATCAACTTTGGACATTTCCTTATTCTTTTTGTAAACTATAAACTCAGAAAGTAGATCATCAGTCAAGGAATTATTAACATGAGATTGCTCAGCAGGTGTAGTATGTAGTATGTTGGCAGAAGGCTGGGGAGGGTTGGGTGGAGGTCTAGGGCCTTTGGGACCAGTCCAGTTTGGAGGGTAGCCAATGAGTTGAAAACAGCGGTCAGAGGTATGACCATTATAGCCACAGTGAGTACACTTTGCTCTTTTCTTGTCTTTAGAGAAGGAAGGTTTAGAGGATTTGGGTTGAAGTTGACCAGTTTTGAGGAACATGGCCATGGAATCAGTGGGATTAGTGGTATTGTGTAGGTTTCTCTGAGATTCCTCTTGAAGGAGAAGGGAGTAGACTTTGGACAAGGTAGGCAAAGGTGTGGTCAACAGAAAATGGCTTCTCAGGGCAGAGTATGATTCATTTAAACCAATGAGAAATTTCATCACAGAATCTTGGTGCTGAGCAACAGACATGGACTCAAAAATATTACAAGTGCAGTTAGCAAAAGCACCACAAGTACAACGAAAAATCGGCCTATATGTAACATACTCATCCCACAGTGCTTTGAAAACAGTGTAATATTGTGTAATAGACATAGAACCCTGGTCCATCGTACTCAGTGATTTCTCAATTTGAAAAACGCGAGGACCACTACTTAAAGCATATCTATTACGAATTTCATCCCAGACCTCTTGCGCAGATGTGAAGAACAGCAAAGATTGTCTTATGTCTTTACAAATTGAATTCAATATCCAGGATAAGACGAGATTATTAGCACGTAGCCACGACATGTATAAGACAGTGTTAGTAGAAGGAGGTGGAACGATTGTACCGTCGACGAATCCTCCCTTATTTTTGACGCTGAGCGCCATCAGGACAGCGCGTGACCAGGAGGTGTAGTTGTCGCCGTTGAACGGCTCGGCCACAATGACTGCACCGGGATTGTCGGATGCATGTAGGTAGTACGGCGTTGAAGGATCATCGGAGGGTGAGATCGAGGTCGCCATGGTAGATCTAGAGTGTATCAGCAACAGATCGGAGTGGATCGGTCGGATTTGAGCAGAGTAGATCTAGGGTTTCGATCTTTCGCGAAAATCAACAGAAAATCGCAAAAAAAAACAAATTGAGAGAGATTTAGGAGCAGCGGAAATAGAAATGAATCGTTTATCTGGCGAATGATACCATATTTGATTGTAGAACTGAGATTTGTAGAACTGAATCAAAGATCAATCGAAGAAGATGAAAAGAAGAACAGAGGAAAGCTTAACATTGAAAAATCGGAGAAAAATACAGAATGAAAAGTTAACCTAATACAATGTTTGGTAAAGGCTATTTATACTAATCTGCTAACACTAAAGTTGCTATTGCAACTGTACACAACTTTGACACTTTTAATACTAAAAGGAATAGGAAAGGCAAATAACAAATAAAGGCTATTTATATTCTATTAGTTTACAACAACACAGTAGTAGTTTACAACAACACGTTTAACATAATTAACTAGTTACATATGGTGTTGTTGATACCGTAACATCCGTCGAGTGTTTTAACCGTTAGATTATTTATTAATTCAACGGTTAAAACACCCGACGGGATGGTACCGTAATGGACTGTAGCATTTCCCATTATTATAATTTTTATTACAGTATCAATTCAGACTATCAATCACAAACTCCTCCAACTCCACAAAAGAGAACAAAATAATGAAATCAATGAATCCCAAAAAAACACCCCCCAACAACTTCACTTCACCAACCAATTCTGAACAACTCCATCATAACTACAACTCTACACATCTTCCCTGTATAAATCTCCCCAACCCAAATCCTCCCCATCACCAAAGAAACATAAAATCAATCCCCGCAATGTCTAAGCAAACCTCAGTGACATTTTTCCTCGCGACATTCCTAATAATGTCAGCCTACACCACCTCAGCCGCCATCCCACCCGGGCCACCACCAGACGAGCCCGTCGTGTTGGAGCTGTACATGCACGACATCCTGGGCGGCACCACCCCCACCGCCCGCCCCATCACTGGTCTCCTCGGCAACATCTACAGTGGCCAGGTCCCCTTCGCCCGTCCCCTCGGCTTCCTCCCACCCCGCGGCGGCGTTGCCATCCCAAACGCAAACGGCGCCATCCCCACCGTCAACCCCAACAACGGCATCCCGCTCGGCACCGGCCTCGTCGGCACTGCATTTGCCGGTGGGTCCCCCAACACCAATACAAACAACAACAACAATAACAATAACAACAACAACAACGGTGTGATAGCGGGTCAGCTCGGGCCTGACGGGCTCGGGCTGGGGTTCGGGACGATCACGGTGATCGACGACTACCTGACGTCGGCTCCCGAGCTGGGGTCGCAGCAGCTGGGGAAGGCGCAGGGTGTGTACGTGGCGAGCTCGGCGGACGGGTCGACCCAGATGATGGCGTTCACGGCGGTGATGGAAGGAGGGGAGTTTGGGGATAGTGTTAATTTTTTCGGGGTGTATAGGATAGGGAGCCACATGTCGCGGCTGTCGGTCACGGGAGGGACGGGGAAGTTCAAGAACGTGTGCGGGTTTGCGGAGGTGAGGTCGCTGATTCCGGCGGGGCAGGTCGTGGGGGACGGGGTCGAGACGCTGCTCAGGATCACCGTGCATCTCACTTACTGATGATCAAAGATATATATATATATATATATATACGTTTATGGGAAGTAATGGTTTGTGCTAAAAAATTGTTAATTTTATTGCTCTGTTTTCGTTTTCGGATTTGTGAGTGTCGTCCGTGTGGGTACATATTTGTAATGATCAAAGATATACATATTTGCTTGAAGGTGTGGTTGCTGTATATTAGTTATCAACTGACAAGGAAAATGAAAAAGAGAGAAAGACACAAAAAATGGTTAAATGTGGAGATGCGGGGTATCGATCCCCGTACCTCTCGCATGCTAAGCGAGCGCTCTACCATCTGAGCTACATCCCCGAGATGCTTAAAGCTTGCACCTTCTTACTTATATATTTTATAGTTTATTATACTATCAGAACAGCATTATACTTATATCCTCGTACTTTTAAACTATTGTTCTGGAAAGATGGGTAAGCAACATTTAATAATATTTGTTAATTAAAAATATGCTATTAATTATATGTAATGCAATTTACTTACATTAATTTGTTAAAAATGCTACATGAAATTTAAATGGTGCAAAATATATATATAAACACGTTTATCTAAAATATTAAAAACATCTAAAATAGTATATAATGTCTTCAGAAAGACCTAAAATGTATTTGAATAGCATAAAAACTGAACAAGAAATAGTATATAATGTCTTCAAAAAGACCTAAAATGTATATGAATAGCATAAAAACTGAACAAGAAAGTAGAAATTTCGAAAAAGGTAATTGAATCAGGGATGTTAAATAGTGATACTTCTTTAGCATTCGACTATAACAAACGAATAAATCAGGGATGTTAAATAGTGATACTTCTTTAGCATTCGACCATAACAAACGAAGTGCTTCCCTTTCTGTCGGATAATGAAGATTGCTTTGAAGTTTATGGAATCCTTAAAAGAAATTTAACAATGAAGATTGCTTTGAAGTTTATGTTTATAGAATGACGTAAACTTTAGAATAATATGAAACACAGGAAACAAACTCACGGTTTTAGTAAGAGAATTCATAATCAAACAAGAGAATGAACTATAAAGGACATAAACCATAAGTAATTCCTCTTCTGAACTTATCCAAACACAACAGTAAAATTTGCAATTGATCAAAAGTACAGTTACAATTTGAAAAAAAGAAAAAAAAAAAAAAAGACACTGGAAATGATCGGCTTAGTCATACCTATCAGCTCTGGACAAGAATTTCGTGTAATCAACAAACTATTCAGAAATTTCGTACAAAAAGTTGGATTCGAAATCTATAATGTCGAACAAGTGACAAACTTTCCATTCAGACAGCAATATTTTAGTAAAATGTTTACAATCGAAAAACATAAGCAAGACCTCAAATTAGTGAAATCTTCACAAACAAACACACATGATTAGTGGCGGGCGGACGGGCATCATTAGGGCTTAATTGGCTTCTTCACAATCATAACCGGGCAGTTCACGTTGTGAGCGCAGTGGGTACTCACACTTCCAAGAAGTGCCCTGCCATTCATAACACATACATCATCAGCTGCCATTCAAAAAGCATACCAACCAAAAACACATACATCAACTCTGTTCAAGCTATATGTACACAATGTAAGGTTACGTAGAATCTTAAACTTATATACATAGCTCTATCGAGAATCAATGCCGCTAAAAATCGACGATATTAATCGTATTTGGCATCAAACTGTGAGCAGAGGAAAAACAAAGAAATGGAAAATGAAGGAGGAGGCACCTCTTAATAACACCATAGCCACGGCTTCCCATAATCAAAAAGTCGACCTTCAATTTGTCGGCCGCCTCACATATCACATCCCTCGGGTCGCCGTACTCCACCATCGTCTCCACCCTCACCTACGCCATAACATTTCAAATTACGTTATTACCCTCCTCTCCCCCACCCACCTCACAAATTTAATTAATTTGTCAAAATATATATACCCAAACAAAATAATTTTAACCAAAACTAAAGTGCAAAAAAAGGGGGATCAAATAAATTACTTGAGCATTAATTTCATCGCAAATTCTTTTAGCTCTGTCCATAACTGTCTTGGCCACCTGGTTGCTGTACCTCTCCATGGTAGAAATTATGCTAGAAGACGACATGTAGCCTGTGAATTGAACACCCTAAAATTACCATACCAATTGCAGCCAAGATAATTGAAAATTTAAGCATTGTTTTATTAGGGAAATGCTACGGGATCATTCCATCGAGGATTGTAACCAATTACAAACCCCGACGGAATGGTTCCGTGACGTGACGGTAGCATCTTCCGTGTTAATAATAAACAAGTGTTACCAGCGGAGTCCATGGGCATGTAGGCGGCAGCCGAGGGTTGCTTGGCATAGAGGAGGATGAGGGTATTTTCGTAATTGGGATTGCCCGTGAGCAAATTCTTGAGGCACCATGACAGTGCATAAGCGCTCTCTTCGCCTTCATCAACAGCAACCAAAATCTTGCGACCTTTCCCCGACATCTTTCTTTTTTTTTTTTTTTTTTTTTTCTGAAGTGCTCAAAGATTTCAGATCTACTACAGCGTGTGATCAATCACTTGTTATGAATATCTGTATGTTAACGTATGTTTGTGTATATATAATGGGGGAAAATAGATATTAACAAGAGTTGAGATTTAACATAATTTTGAAGTGGTGGACTGTGTCTGCCTGGTGGGATGTTCGTTCCCGTTAGAGGTCGTTGGTAGTTTTGGAAATGGTGGGCGGCCGCTCAATGCTGTTTTGATCGCCACTGGTTTCCAATTCTTTGCCAAGTAATGTTAATTGATTTACTTGCAACCTTTTCAAAGTTGTTTATGATTGCTTTAATAAAGTGAACTTGAATATCAACTTGATGGTGTCTCGTGGTTTTGGACTTTTGGATTGTGGTCTCGGCCGATGGTTGGGATGGGATCGTCGGTCGGGAGTTGGGGAGAAAGAAGTTGTCCTCTGGTGTGGGTCTAAGGGTTGTATTTCGGGAGAGGGTTTTGGTTTGATTGCAGTTCCAATTAGCCGTTTGCTGGAGTTTTTGGTTCGATTTCTCGAATTGGGTTTCTTTCACTTGTGCGGACGTCTCTAGGTGTCGAACCATGGATTGCTGCGGATTGTTTGCCGGCGAGAGGAGGGTCTTATTCGAGTATTGTAGTATTGTAGTGGTTGTGTTGTGTAGTGTTTTGGGTTGCCTTGTTGGCCGTTTGTTTTATTCTTCTGTGCAGAAGCTCGATTCTTCCGTATGGGACTGTTTCGATTCTTACGTATGGAATTGTTTCGATTCTCTCGTATGGGACTGTTTCGATTCTTCCGTATGGGATTGTTTCGATTCTCTCGTATGGGACTGTTTAGTTCGTCTGTTTGTGGGTGCGTTAGTGTAGATCTCTAGGCTACCATTTGTGTATGCCTCCCTTAGATTCAACTGGATAGCTGCTTGGCAATTCCTATTTGTATCTAGGTTTGTAATTATGTGTTCTTATTAATTTAATCTATCATTTCGAAAAAAATAAAAAGAATATCAACTTGATGGGACAAATTGTATTTCTATTCTATTATTATATTGGTCAATTTTTAGCAAATATCAATTTTTTGAGAGCACTTTTGTTTACGGAGATCGAATTAGATAATTTTTATTTTAGTGTCCAAGATTGGGTGTAGAGATAATTTTTATTCACGTTTGTTATGTTTGATTACTCAAGATAAAATTATCTTCATAATCTGTTTTATGTGTTTGTTTCCATAGATAAATAATAAGATTAGATGCTCATTTACAAATTTGCCCCATTGTTCAAATACATTTTTTTTTTTCTTTCATGTTTTACTGGAATGAAAATAACCAATCAACCTCATTATTTCATCTTCCATTCTTAAGTTGTGCACATATTATTTATGGAAAAGAAAAAAGAAAAAATGTAGTTTGTTACTCACAATCTCAAAACAAATGGTTGAATTATTTCAGTTTTTTTTTCTTTCTTTTTGCGGTCGCCGTCTTCGGGAGTTATAGGGACGTTTCAAATTCTGGGTACAAGGAATGGAAAGAGATAGGGACAATGATGTAATTTGACACAATAATATAGTTCAGATAAATTTAATCTCACCCTTCCCCAGGATAACTTTATCTTGCATATTCAGGATTTCTTTGGATTTAATCTCGGGCCCCAAAATTATCTCGAGCTTTTATCATGGTAAACTAACATCAGATTAGGCCATGATAAATGACTTTATCCTATCTTATCCTCCAAAACAAATGAGCTCTGAGAAGATAATAAATTGAGTAATGCTACATAACCAACCTAGTGTACAACTAGGTTGACAACACAAGTGTAAACACTCATAAAATTTAAAATAAAAAAATTACACAAGTGGATATTTACACTTGTGTTGTCAACCTAGTTGTATACTAGGTTAGCAATGTAGCATTTTTCTAATAAATTTAGTACATTAATTAGAAAATTTTATCAAAATATGTATAATAATCTTTAGTTGCAGGATAAATGTCATATTATCACGGACTCGACTCGGGCTAATCATGGACTGAAAATGTAATTTGTGTATATAATTTTGAACGGACAATTGACTAAGTAAATGAACTCTATTTTGTCTGAAATTTTGGGTATATGATCGTATCGACGAAAAGAATACAACAGTGGGTCCCATACTCAAAAATGATATTAGATGATAGTATAATTAAGCAGAAAATAGAACAACTCAAATTATTTACGATGAAAAATTGTCTGGGTAAATGAAATCTAATTGAGCTACAAGTTTGTGGTTACAACTGTCTTGACGAGAAAAATCCATCGGTGAGTCACCCGACTAAAACGTATACCATAAGACACTAAAATGGCTCCTAGATAGATAACACCAATTTTGGGCTAAAATTATTTTGGATGACAAATTGAGCAGACAAACAAACTCCAATTGAGATCAAACTTTGTGAGTATGATTGATTCGACAAGAAGAATCCGATTGTAGATCCCCCACCTAAGTCGGATGTTATTTGACATTATAATTAAACGGAATAGAAAATAATTCAAATTATTTTAGATAAAAAATCGAGTGGACAAACGAATTATAATTGGGCTAAAAGTTTATGGATATGACCCTCTCTGCGAGAAGAATCCAATGGTAGGTCATCTACTTGAAATGGACATCAGACAACTTTTGAATTAGACAAGAAAGAAAATGGCAAATTTTATTCTGCCACTAATGATTAGTGTACCTTATTTGATGAACTTTTAAATTAATGTATTAAGTTTGATGTCTGCAAAAAAGGTGAACATTTGCTGGAACATGACCAATATAGATTGATCTCCTCAAGCTTTTCTTAGGTCGCCATCCTCACGACCCTTAGATATAGCTGGGCCGGTTCACGACCCGTCCCAACTCGGCCCGCCAACCCAAATGCTAGGCCCGGAATTTGCCCGCCTATATCTAATGGCCGGTTCGATTGAACCGCCGGTTTAAAAAATAAAAATAAAAAAATAAAAAACAACAATGACCCGTCTTTTTACCCGGTATTGATTCTATACTGGCCTGGCCCGACAAATCAAAAAGGAGAAAAACACGACCTTGAACCGGCGCTTAAGGGGTAAGGGTTTGGTTAAAAAACCGGTTGATTCGGGCCAGGTCAACGGGGTCGGGTTCGACTCTTGGCCATGTCTAGCCATGACTAGTGTCTATCTTTTTGACCCAAGAATGCCTCTTTATTTAAACACCCTTCATCAAGGTCTTCAGTTCAAAAAGTTCTTTCTCCATCCTTTCTATCCTTTGTAGTTGTTGGGCCTCCGTCTCCGACGCTGTTGCACCTTGAGAATCTTGACTTAGATAGACTGAGAATTCATCTAGTTTCATTGGGGTTGATCATGTCACGATATGCCTCATCTCCCTCAACTGTTTTTAGTTCTCCTATGTGTCGCCCTGAATCTTATAACTAAGTATTCCTCCCATAAATGACGCAAATTGATGATACAAAAAAATCCGACGTTAGTCCATGGACACATGGTGACAATGTATGCTCTGACGTCCATCTTAGTGCAGACTCGTTTGTGTGGACGCTTGCAAAACAGAGCTCCTGTTCCTCAGGGATAAACCTTCGACGCTTAAGTCAGGATATGACTTTTGGGTGGTGACTCTAGAATGTGCAAGTGTAGAAGAGAATTCCGCCCTTAGAGTGGCAAATAAAATGTTTGTTTTATTTTCTCTCTCAGATGATTATTAAAATTGTTAGAAAATTCTGATGGAGATGGAGAACAATAAAACAAAGAACATGAAGTTGGGGACCTGCTCAATTTAAATTACTTGGATAACTTGTACTGCAAAAAATCAAATTCAAAAGCTTCCTCAAACACATGGCAGAAAAAAGTGTTTTGAATTATTCATGGCAACACTGTAACACATAAAAGAAAGGTCCCCCAAATCAAGAGTGAATTTTATAAGAATCATATGCACATAAACCATTTGATCCCTGACAAAGTTTCCCCATAGTTAAAAAATATGCTCGTCACTCGGGTCATCATCGTCAGGATCAGGAAAAACGAACGGTGGAAGCGAATCATTATTCCCCATTTGCTCATCCGCCGTATCATCATCCGGCTGTCCTGCTGGCATCCAGTTGAAGCTCATCTCCCGATACTCCCCGTCTAGCATTCCACTATCCATATTATACCTCCTGTAATGAATCAACTCATCTGGGCCGGGCCCACTATTACCTTGGTAATTAGTTCCCGAAATATTCGCATCGTAAGTCACATCCACAGTGCTGGACTCGACTCCCCTGCCACCGAAGGTTCCTTCTTCTGAGGACCCCACTTGAGGCTCTCCCATCAAATGGCTCTCGATATCGTTTATCAGTCCTACGTTCGGTTGTTGTTGTTGATAGCTTTGGTATGAAAAAACGTCGTTGCCCGGTGGGGTTATGTTAAAAGGCGTCCCTTGACCCCAAGGTGAATGTGGCGGAGCCGAAAACTGATTGCTACGTCTTGCGAGCCTAAATGGGAAGTCCGTAGGATAAACACCTGGAAATGCGGGATTTAGCGCTATTGGGGCTGCTGCTGTAGGGTAGGGTCTATGGAGATAAGGTGATCCGTAGCCACTGAAACCGATAGATAGTTCTGAAATCCCGAACATGGTGGGGTCGAAATAAGGTGATTCGTGGCTCGGGAAGGGCTTCTGGCTCAGGGCAAAGAGCCGTTGGTCGCATTGCAACAGCTTTTCGTAGTGTCTGTCGAGAATTCCGGGCGGGAACCTCACGTAATGTCTCCTGATGAACATATAACATTTCATTCAAATAATGTACTACATATGTGAAAAAAAAAAAAAAAAAATACCTCCAAATCGGCGCTTGGCCGCCCGTGAAGTCGGACGCTTGCTGCCAAAGGGTATGCTTTCTCGGCTGCGGATTGATTTCTCGGTAGAACGAAGGCGGTTGATTAAGCTACTCCAAACAAATAATAACAATAAATATTAATCATCAATACTTAATTTCATCACCACATGATGAGACAGGGGACAACATATCGAGAACTAACCGACCTCGATTTCCAACGTCCCGGGCTCGTTTTCGAACGTAGTCGCCCGAATCGCGATGATATCCGACCATTGTACTTCGATCTTGCTCTTCAGTGCCCCATCCAACACCTCCCAAACCAGCTTCCGCTTCGCATAGTACAGTTTCGCAGTCAAATCTCCCTCGTTCCTCGTCGTCCGCTGCACGCAAAAAAAAAAAAAAAAAAAAAAANNNNAAAAAAATACGAGACAGTTACAAACAAGTATAATTAAAAACGCCGTACATGAAAAAAAAAAAAACAGAGGCTATAATAATAATAATGATAATAAACCTGCCAAACGCCGATCTTAATGAAAATGGCGGGAAAATTGGAAGCCTTCAATTTCTCAGGCGTAGTAGATGAAGAAGAAGAAGAAGAAGATCCCATGTCGTCCTTTTTCGGTCGCTCTGCTGCTGCTGCTGGTGGTGGTTTCTTGCCCTGAGACAGACTCGTCTGCACCAGATTCAAAAACGACGGCGTTTTCCGCAGCGTCAAGCCGAGAGGGCTCGATTGTTCTGAACTGTCAGCGCCTCCTTCCTGATTATTATTATTATTATTAAATTCTGTTAAAATTTCTCCATATCCATCTTCTTTATCACTCGGAAACCCACACTCACCCATGTCTTCTGCATTAATTTCCCTATTTTATTATTATTATTATTATTATTTACATCATTTCTGAATATATATATATATATATGTATGTACGTATATATAGGTGATGGATCTTAATTATAAAAACAATCTTTTGTTTTCTTTTGGGACAGAAAATTAAGGGAAAAGAAGAGGAAAAAGCGTTGTTTAATAATAATAAAGAAACAGAGGGAGAATTGAAAGAAGAAGAAGCCAGAGTAGAAAGGGGTCTTCTCCTTCAAGAATCTAATAATTAATTAATTTTTATAATAGAGAGAGAGAGAGAGAGAGAGAGAGAGAATTGAGAGACCTTTTAGATTTTGATTGGTGAAGTTAGATTTGCTTCTTTTCGTCAGTTGAGTAGAGATGGTTTTTTATTAAGTTTAAAGAAAATTTGACCCATTTCATAAAAAAAAGGAGATTGTGTTTGCTTTACACCAATTCAATTTGGCAAAATGATATTATTATATATAATGACTTCATAAATTGTCATGTTACATAACTATTTCGTCGGGATTTGTAACAGTTGGATCATCGGGATATGTGGTTTTTAACAACGTAGTTAACGATAGTAATATTGTAATTCATAATGTGCGAGAATTGAACGTAACATGTTCAAACAAGCAAGAAGTATGAAGTCGGTTTTGTTGTGAACCGAGTTGGGTTTTTTTTTTTGTGTATTACTATTTGTTGAATGTTCAGAATTCGATCATTGTACTAGAAGGAAAATCAACTATTTATAGTATCTTTTTGGGCCCGTCTTTCGAGGCATTTACGACTACATTTAATGTGAAGTAACTTTAAGAAGGCGGTTTATGACAATTGTGCCCATCGGAATGATGACGTAATGTGTGGTGTGCGAAGGTCTCGGGTAGATGCGTTGTCACCTGCTTTGATTTTTGACGACCTCGGTTTTGGTCGGTGTTGGTTGTTAAGACGGTTGAGTGTAGATGACTTCGGTTCGGCAGAGTAAGCGGGTTTTCTTTGTACAAGCGAGTCGGTATTTTTATTCGGTCCAGACCTAGTTAAGTTCGTCGCATACGCGCTTGTTTTTTGTTGATGATGTCGACTATTACCAAGTTGGTAATCAACAATCATCATGTAAACGTCAGAGATATTTGATCGAACGGTTACAAATCCCGACAGAATAGTTCCGTAACGAGACCGTAGCATCTTCCGCAATTTGTTACATGATTCTCTCTCTCTCTCTTTATGTATCCACTAGAAATCGGCAAGAGGTGTCCTTTTTGGATTTTATTCGTTGAGAATGCTGATATTGAACTTTTGGTACATCATAAATTAGTAGTTACTTACAAGAATTAACTCTACTGCTATGAAGGAAAAGTGAAATTAATTATGAAATTTGCTTTTTCTTTCATTAAATTGTTTTGTTATATCTCTATCACTGTTTTCTTTTTATTTAGATTTTTGTCTATTTTGCATTTATACATGCACAAGTATGGACATTTTTATATCATATAAAAGACTGTAGGCATAACATATATGCATAATTTGATATTTAAGTTTATACATATATATATATATATATATATATATACCTATA